GATGGTATAAGATGAATAAGAGAGGCAGAGAATGTATCGTCAATGAACCAAACTCTAGTAGCCATCTACTCTACTCCCAATTATTGAGTAAACTTCGATGAAATCAGAGAGCTTGGCCATCATCGTTGAATCGTATTACTGAAGATATTCCTGTATTACTTGGATTATAACCAGCAGTTTCGAAAAATCATTTATGCTTGCGACGCTTTTCTCCAGTCGTTCCAAAAGCAATTACGCGTTTAAGTAACAAAGATGCTTTTTAAGTATTAGTTCTTTCGAAACGTATTACTAACAGCGAAGAAACATACTAGATCTATGTTCCTGATACAGACATAACTCAATAATTAAGTTAATCTCTTGAAAGATTACATGAACAGAAACATCTCATCAAAGCCGGTCAAAAATCTAGGTAAATTTGACAGTTTCCTTCGTCTACCGAGGGTTTTATTTCAGGAATTTCTATTAACTATATAAATTATGGTATAAATTGAGGTCTACGGTGTTTATTTGAAACCATTCGCTGAACATGACCGGAACTGCGACGAGATAACTTATGGGTTTCGCATCATAATCATGCATCTGTTCACAATGTTTTTTGTTGCTCGTGGCCGCATGTGATTTTTCTTATCTTCACGTTTAAAGCACTCATTTTGAATGCAATAAATCAACATTGGTTGCGAAAACTGAGAAGATTTCTAGAAAGCAACTTTAAGACAAGTTTTCTAGAATTGGAGAAAACGTTAGCATATGTGCATTGCAGTTCAAGGAGATGTAATCAAACATGAATCCATAAACTGTAATCTTATATTTTACGTAACCTTATAGATACATCTTGATTGCGATAATGTAACTTCAATCTATATGTTGTGCACAGAACAATTCTTAATTTTTCTCAGTCAGGCAACAACAACACGTACAATTATTTTATAGAAATAATCATTTGTTTCGTAAAAACTTTTCTATATGATAACATTGTATATTAAAAAAGAAAAGTAATCAAATAATAAAATGTTTATATAACAGTAAACAGGAGCAAATCTAACACTTGAAATGTGTTTTAAAGCTGTTTTGTCTTCACGTAAAACTCTGAGAAAGCTGGAACGAAAACTAAAAAAAACATGATAATTTTGAAGAATAAAATTATGAAAATATTCGACGCTTGAATACAGAAGCGAAATAATGGAATCTCTAGTAACCGTCAATTTTTAAACAGGTGGTGAGCACTACAGAAGTGGGGAGGGGGGGGAATTGCAACAGTAGATGGAGGAGCACCTCGGAAATTTGAGCCGCATAAGCATACAACAGAACGCGTTTTACGTATTCAGAGGGCGAATAGTCGCGGATGGGAAGTACATAATATGCAATTATAAAAATAAAGAAAAGAGAAAACAGCAATATTTGGTTACGAACTTGCTGCGCTGCACCTGTCGGTTCTCTTAAGTTACGGCGAGCAGGCAATTAACTGAAATCATATCCAACGGAAAGGCTCTTTATTATACTGGTAATATTTGCGAAGTACAGTTTCCAAAAAGAAAAAGATTCACTATTTCATTTTGGAATGATCTCGTACCTACCTCTATCTGACTTATTTCAGCTCTTTAATGACGCGATATGTTGCTGTCTTTATCAAAGATGCAATGTCTGCAATAGTAGAAAATAAAGGTTGCTCGAAAAGATCTTTATTACTATTACAATACAAGAAGGAAACAATTAATGGAAACATAGATTGTGATAAAATAAAAAATGTATCCAAAAAGGTTTTTATTATAAAATTTCATAACAGAAAAGCTGCAGCTGTTTAACAAAATGCAGTAAACTTCAATATGTTCTTTGATAAACGCATAAAATTTTCGACTGCTAAACATTTCTTACATCTACGAGTCTTTTTTAAGCTCCAGCCAGTTTCAACTCGCAGAGCTATTAGCAGGTTTTCTTCAATTAATCACAAAACTTATAGCATTTATTCTGTGCATAGCGTAGTTCTAAATTCGGCAGGAAAGTAGCTCATTTTGCAAAGAATTGTTACACACAACTGAGCTAAAAAAAATTAAGAGATGCTCTTGATTTTGCAACAGACAGCAATTCAATAAATAAGTTTATGCATTTTCATAACAATACAGACTGGGTCATTTACATTAGGGAAAAGCTCGAGGATTATCTGCCTAAACTCCACTACAGTCTTCAGGCAGAATCATTGCATACAGAAATTGCGAATCATCCTTCCGAAAAATCGGTCATCGTGTCAGACGTAGCCCTGCAACAGTCATGCGAATACAGAATCAATGGCTGCAGGAGGGATCAACTGACGGAAGGAGCAATTGTAAACCCCTCGGCGCACCATTCCACGGGAAAACAGACATATTGTGCACATGGCACTGATAGAGCGCACTGCCACATACGCAATTATATCACCACGAATGCAGTCTATAACACAGCAATCAGTGTCTGCACGAAATATTTGACGTCGTTTAAAGTACAATGGACTATCCGCTAGGAGTCCATTGCTTCGCTTACCTTTAAACCACAGTCATTTGCGTTTGCAGTGGTACACTGAACAGCGGACCTGGACATCCAAATGCCTTGGAATTGTATTTTCGGATGAATTATGCTTCTGCGTGAAGTACCACGTTAGTCGGATTAGAGTTTGGAGACATGGAGAGAGGCTGCTCAATTGTTGTCTTATGCATCGTCATACTGGCCCTGCACCCGGTGTCATGGCGTGGAGTGGTATTGGGTTCCATGCCACCACCTATAAAGCATTATCGGTACACTTGCCACCGAACGCTATACCTCTGAGGTTTTGCAGTCTGTTCTCCTTCCTTACCTTATGCCCCATTTCAAAAGGTCAATGCGCGACCAGACGTTGTACGCAGTGTTGGAGCTTTGTTCACCTTACATTATTGCCCTGTTAGCCTGGCTTGCCTGTTCTCCAGATCTATCGCTCAACGAACATATCTGGACAATGACTGGAGAATCCCTAGCCCAGGATTTCGCACCCGCATGTACACCAAATGAGCTCTGGCTACGTGTGGAGGCAGTATGAGCTGCCATTCCCAACAACACATCCAAAGCGTCTTTCACTCATTGCGACGGCGTGTAGCAGCGGTTACTGACAAATGTGGAGGCAACACTCATTACTGATTTTCTCATCTTCCTCACCTAAAAGAAGGCTGCGTTTCGAATAATTTAACATTTATTCTCTGTGTAATCTCCGAAATAAATTTGGCTTTTTTATCTCTTTTCCTCCTTCTTATTGCATTTTGAATGACCAGCAGTGTAAATATTTCAGTTTACATTTATGTTAGAATAGAAAGTTTATTCCAAAATTAAAACAAAATTTTATATTAATATTTCGAGCATTCATTCATCGTTATCCCACCATACACACATCACGGTAAAAAGTAAGCGTTATTCATGCATACATACTACTTTTATGTTAAAAAATAAATCTCCTTAAAAATACATATTATATGCATCTTAGGCAAAAAAAAAGATCATGATAATAATCGGGCTGTTAATATAACCACAGGAAAAAATTTTTAATGCGAATTTATTCCAAAAAGTGATTATTTAAAGATTGTTTATAAACAGGCTAAATTTAAAAAGGTCAAAATAAGCATACTTTGAAGCCTCACTTACAATAATATAAAATTTCAAATTAATTAATCCAATACAAATGCTTAATTTTTTACGTTATTTTTGAAATATAGTTTTAATTCTCTGCACAGCGTTTAACTTTTGACATTTTTGCATTAAATGATAAGATACTGGGTAATTTATTACGCCAAAGGTTTGCAGTTTCAAGTAGTAAGAAACCGGAATTATAAATTAATACATGAATTTTACAAAATGAAATAAACTAATTATCAGGAAATCAGATTTCAGAGCGGAAACACTGCGAACATTTTTTAGTTACTTTAGCATATCGATTATTAAAAGAATAATTAGATTTAAAATGAATTAATTCGGTCTTGCAACTACAGAGAAAAAGATGGGAATAATAAAATTGAAGATATGTTCCACACATTTTATCCTATTTATTCATTCATATCAGACGCGTGGAAAAAAAGTAACAGCAAAATGAATAACCCTCCTACTTTCAAAAAAATTTTTATCCAAGTTAAAAGTAAATTGATTTTCCTCTTTAGACTATACAAAAACAAAATATTTTTCAAACAGAATAATATTTCTTGAATGACTCGTCTAGAAGACTTCCAAGTTAAGAAATGAATCTAAAGAAGTGGATTTCCAGACGCAGTCAATATTAGCAATCTGACGCCTTTCAGTAAAAATGTACAAAATTAAAAATTTTTTACAAGCTCCGTAAAAAATGTGCCAACGAGAAAAATTTCTTCGTAATCAAAGTAGTCAAAACAAAAATTTTCATATGGTATAAATAACCCGAGATGTCATGAATTAAAATTTTAAAAAAACTATTATCTATGTCAAAGATAATTATTTATATTTAATTTAAGACGCAGTTTCTTTAAATATACCTTCTATACCATTAAATAGAAAGATAAAGGTTTCAATTTTTCACAAGTGGAAACGATTAAATTCGTAATTTTTGTTTAAGAATTCTTAAGTCGCTCCTAAAGCGATATCTGCTTTTATACAGTGAAATCAGTTTAAGTCAAGCATTTTAGTCAAGCCCTCCCCAAGAGCCAACTCTGTGTGTTACAGAGCTAATTTTAAAAAACCTTTAAAAGGAATATTTATTAATTACACAGAGCTTACCTTGCAATGAAGGTCGTAGAAAGATTTAGATTTTGTACCTTTTATTAAAAGGACAGTATATAATCAAATAATGTTAGCTGAAAGCCTTCGGTTCATTTGTTAAATTGGAATCATATGCTTACGAGAATTTTAGCAGACATTTAGCAGAAGACAATTAAAAAAAATATCGTAGACAGTTTTTAATTACAAAACAACATAGTATCGGCGACAAAATGCAAATTCAAGTTGCACATAAATAAACAAAAGATAAATATATTTCTTACCTTCTGTGCTAAGGCCTGGACAAGAAGTAAATTTGGCAACGTCGACGACTTTGACGGCGAACTGATGACCTGTCGTCCGATGAACGCATCTTCGTACCATGCTGAACGGACCTCTGGAAAAAAAAGAAAAGAATCTCAATATGAACATTACAACACAAAAGCAAACGAGAGGTCTAAACAGCTAGTGCAGATAGTCTAGAAAGTGGAAGGAAAAGGTATAGCTTAAATACAACACCTGTAGGTGGACCTGACTTACGATGGTTCGGTGACCTCATGATATCTCTAATATACGGGGGTTGAAAAAGCTAGATAATCATTGCAAAATTATTAATCTTGATGATCTTCCAAGTAAGTTATCAGTGGAGCACAAGAGGGAAAGATCGCTGAATAAGCAGATATATTATACCACTACTTTCTGTAACGATATGCATAATGAAAACAAACATTAAATTGTATAAGGAGAAAATAACAACTTCCCATCCTTATTAAACTATCAAGAAATATCTATGTTCTTCTGCTAGCAACTCTAGCTTTATCAGAGAAGAGATTGAAACGAACGATTTTATTCATTGTAACATCCCTGCCATCGAAAGGTCTGATGTGTTTTCAGTTGCTTCTATAAATAAAAGACTATTAAAACCATAATGTTTTTCACTTTCAATAATATATTCAGTAAATTATATAAAATACTTAATAGTTTGTTACAAAAAATTCTTCGTTAAATGAGTTTACCCTGCTATATGCTCTTCCAAACACAATTAAAATAGGTGAGATTAAGGTCTGACAGATTACGTATATTAGATGCATAACGATATTTTAAATTTAAAATAGATTTTAGCTTACGATGAGAGGACGTAATCTTATGCTTGGTTGAGAAATGAATAGTAAGGCACATGAGGATTACCAGCCTCAACTCCATTCCAATTTTGATCACCAGAACACAGAAGCTAGACTACAAGGGTCTCATAGCCGTCTTCTCTTCTTCGAAGATACATAAAGCAGAAAATATGTATAAATTAAGATTATAAAAAGCAGAAATTTTACACTAAGCTTTCTGTTTAAATTCAGGTAACAAAATAAGACTTTTGCTTAGTTATTCGCGTAAAGCGTGGGTATCATAACGTCATACAATGTAACGATCAAACAATTTTATAAGAATCCGTTAAAGACGTTTTTAATGTCAACAAGCAACGTTTCATTTGATCTATATAGAATAAGCGATCCGGATAATTAAGAATTAAGAATTTCATGCATACGTAACTTTCAAACAAAATATAACATATAGGCCATTTATTAAATGTCATATAATTACAACTACTCAGACACTATAACAAAATAAAAGTACGTAATCTCTTTTATTATTCAAAATTCTTCACGAGGATATAAGATTCGACAATAATACAATAATAACAGGCAATATTCAACTACCAAAATAAATAAAAAATAATCCAGGTTAGGAAATTTTTAATATGCGAAATATTAAAGACTTTGCATTATGATACGCATACACCATTTAGCGAAAAATAGCAAATCGATACAGAAAAATACATCATAGAATGTGCGTCAAAAAGTTCTTGAAATTATTAAAAGCTGTTTTTAGAGCTCCTACGTAAATAACATTAAATTTTCACACGCATTTTAATTACAAAGATTGTTCTCCTCTCGTTATTACCTAAACTATAAAGGTAAAAGGTTATTAAAATACTTTGCCAGTTAGTCAGTTTATGACGGTTAAAACTTCAGCCATCTAATTACTTTCTAATTAAACAACGCTTCAAGTATCAAGTTTAAATTCTCCACCGCCTGGTGCAGAAATTTGAACCAGCTATTATCGACCCATTAAAAGACAATTACATCTCCATCAGTTAAGGTAGGCGTCAAAATGGATATACTCTATCAAAGATTTTTAACAGAGTTCTCGGAAATTCTTCATGAAAGGAATATTAAGGAAAAAAAAGATTAATATCAGAAAAGATATAATGTCGACAGGAAGATGAAATAATCTATTGTGCAAATATTTGTCTTGATTAGATCCTTGTCCCTAAAAATAATGATTTTGGAAGCAAAAACCACAATTGCAAATAATTTGAACCATGAAGAATTAATATCTAAGAAAGTTTACGCGTTTCGTAGTTGTTAAACAACTCTTTTTTTTTTTTTTTTTTTTTTCTTTCGGATTTAAAAAGAATCTTATTTCTAAAGCAGGATTAGCTACCTTTTCTTCCCTTATACAAAAGAGTAAAGTTTTCAGAATGGAAAGAAGTGAATTAAATAAGAATAAGAGGTAAACATTATACCACCTACTGCCGAAAAAAGAATTTTTCTCATTAACCGCAGTTTAAAAAATTTAACTCATTAATTTTGGAAGCATTGTTGTTCATATTCATGCAAGTATTCAAAAACATTGTGGTGGATCAATCATTATGTTATATATTTCTAAACAAGCATTCCTGTTTAAGCTGAATAAATTCCAGCTAAAGGTAAATAAGTAAGACTATACTGAAAAATAAAATTTTTTTTTAAATTATTAAAATATTTTAAATTTTTTAAAATATTTTTTTTGACTACAAATTTTGAATTATTTCTATACGGCAATCCAACTATAATCTCATGCTGACGAAATGTTTTTCTTTAAAATATACTAATGCGTCAGTTAAGATGTAGCAATTTTATTTAAAGCATATACGCTTGATACCTCAAATTACTGATATCCCAATAACTTCTAGAATTAAATTTATTTCTATATATTAATATGCCAAAATTAATACATAGTTGAAAATTTTATTTCACTTTTCTTTGCTTTAAATAAATCTCAATTACAAATTAGTCTATAGAAAACAAAACATATTAGAATTACAGCAGTTACGTTAAACTTCCGATTTTCGTCACATCACGATTTTTTCATCAATTTTGGAAAAAAAACTTTCAGTTTGGAAAAAAAAGAGGATTTTTAACTATCTACATATTTCCTTTTCATGATGAACTGAAATTATGAAACAGTTCCTAATTATTTCTAATGCACTTTACATTGGAGAGAATATTTTTGCAATAAGCTATGATTTTTTAATCTAGAAGTGATATCCTCCTAAAACTGCTTTTGTATCTCTCGATTGCGACTTGAGTGTAAGTATACAAAAATGTCAAAGTGCGACGTGTTTGTGATTTTCACCATCTACTTCGCAACAATGTTACTAAAATTTTGATAAGTGACAAATAAAGTACTAAACATTATGTTGCTGTACAATTGTTCAACTGGCTAACCATTTATATATCATGATGCTTGAGTGACTATAAATTAGAAAAAATATGCTCATATTCAGAAATATCTGTTGAAATTACGCACGAGAATGCCTGTTAATTATTGAAATAATGCAAATATTTCAAACATTTTCTCATCTAAAAATAGCAGATTTAGATCTGACAGTTTAATATTTAGATAAACATTTCTTAAATAACTTGTGGAAGTGATTCACTGTTTGATGCTTACTTAGTTAATTATTAATTAAATCGGAATCAGATAATATTTCACGCAAACAGAGTAGCCAAGTAATTAATAAACTGCCTGGCGACTTATCAGTTCGCGTGAAGCTTTTAAGGCAAACATTTTGGCAAAACAATTGAATTTCCGTACTTTAGGAGTATGCCTTCGTGGTCTTTCTGAAAGAAATCCACTCCTATTCACATTTTGCACACAGAACGCCATGAAAAATGTGAAGCAGCTAGACTATTTAGTCGTCAGGAAAAAAATTTAGGACACACTACAGAAGCATTCGATGGTATTACCACTGATGGGCTGTTTCTGTATGTCCACGATAAAGTTCATTTTCGTACAACGCACATTCTTTTTTTCAGCAATATGACTTTAAGCATGTGAAACTTGAACAGCTGTCAGCTGAAGTAGTTTTTCACAACGTATAATTAAAAAATTAATTTACCACTGAAAATGCCCTATGTTGAAATCAAAATTCTGCAGTAATAGAACCTCAAATGAGTTCACATTTAAACTCTCCCAAACAAGTAAATCTCCAACATTTCAGAATGAAATCCTATCTCCAAACCATCATGTAAACGTAATAGCATATTCTAAGAAGCACAAACGATTTTAAATATAAATAATAATGAGAAAATTCATCAAGTTCGTATTCAACCCAAAAGGAAAAACGTTAGTGAAATAACAAAATCACTTTGACACAGCGTCTGTTAAGTCCTTGAGCAACTTCAAACGTTTATAATTTTAAATACACATAAATAAGAAACATACCGTGAACTACCAACTTAATAAAGCTTCATTTCTAATGTTTTAATGCAATATATCTCATATTTGTAACCTTCAACGCAACGGCATATTTTCGCGACATATTGTGGAAATAGGTTTTCCAAACACAAACGCTTCACAGAAAATTTTCTCTAATTATTACTGAAGACTTCATCGAATGATTTCAAGATTCCTCAGTTACTGCTCAAGATTTCACAAAGCATTTAAGCTCAATGAAAAGATGTAGCTCGAATATTTATACAATTTTTTTTATAAAACTGCGTGGAAAGTATTCCAGCAGGGTGAAATCAATTGAAATGGCCAAGTAATTGGTCCAACCAATACCAATCCAACATGCGGGAAAGAAGGTCATACAAAATTCAATTTTATACAGAAAACTCACATTAATTTTAATATTTTGAAGAAGAGTTCTAAAAAATAACCCCACTTACCATTAGAAAATATAAAATTAGCAATCTGAATTGATCTTAATAAATTTATAAAATTTTCTTTTGCCTTTGCTAAAAAAAACCGTAAACTATGCTTTGTAACACATATCATCTTCAAAATCGTAAAAACAACCTTGTATTTAGCGTAGGTATAATGAAACACTCAATCGATTTCGAGGGCAGCTAAAGGTCCCTCCTCATCAGGAGAAAGAAATACCTAGAAAGAACAAAATAAAGGAGAAGGAGTCTCAGAAACACGTGGTCCTTATCAGCACTGCACATGGTTATAACTGGATTTTTAATCAGAGTTGCACTGGCCGCCTACTTTTACTGAGCCAGGCTATCTGATCAAGCATAAAGGACAAGAAAAATTAGCGAAGTTAAAATAGGGAGCGAGGGGCAAATGCACCTTC